ATTGCCATGGGAAAGTCTGCTGTTAGGGACCTCTCCAAAGTACTGGAGAGCAATGGTGTCTCTCTGGAGACTAAGGTGCATCTGATACAGGCCATGGTCTTTCCAATCACTAGTTATGCATCAGAGAGTTCGACAATGACCAAGGAGAATTGATGCCTTTGATTTGTGGTGCTGGAGAAGAGTATTGAGAGTACCATGGACTGCTAGGAAAACAAACAGATTCATCCTGGAAAGGATTAAACCAGGTGGCTCCTTGGAGGCGAGGATTTGAGGCTCTGTCTAACATACTTTGGACATGTTGTAAGGAGAGACAGGTCCTTGGAGAAGGACGTCATGCTTGGGTTGGTGGAGGGACAGTGCAGGAGGGGAAGGCTCTCTATGAGGTGGATTGGTTTCAGTGACTGGGGTACTCGGGATGGGAGTGTCAGAGATAGTGTAATTGGCACAGGACAGAGCAGAGTTTAGGGCTGTTGTACCTAGGGTCGCTGTGAGTCGCAAGCAGCTCGATGGCACATAACAACAACAACAGATTTATTTTTAGCTTTTTGTTTACTTGAATATTTTTGAGAGCAAAACATTTATGAAATATAGAGAATAAGTACTTGTTTTTCGTGTTTTAGTGTTTGAAGTTTTAAAAGAATTCTCAGTTTCTTCAGTATGTGAGGTTTAGAAACAAAGCATCAGGGAATAAAATAATATGTGTCATCATATCAAGTATGACATTGTCTAAAACAGAAGACAAGTTAAATAGACATTCCGTGATGTACTGAGAAGATGATTGGTGATAGAAGTGAGACTTTAACAAAATGGAACTTTGGGTGATGATGGAATATGTATTAAAAATGATAGGAGGAGAGTGGGAAGGACAATTTAGACAGTTTATTTAAGTGCTGGAAGAGCATTGCGAGATGGACAGTGGCAAGTGTTGGTGTGGATGTAGGAATACTGGAAGTATGTATTTTAAATATTAAAAAGAAAGTATTGCACAGGTATGTTTTGTCTTAATAACATATAAGGGTGTTTGGCTAGAATCTTCATTTTGAACTTTTTTCTTTATACATTAAACCCCTTCCTGTACTCTTGAAGGACATGGAGTATACCTTATTTTACTATTTCTGTACCTTTGTTGCTTATAATAGTCTCAATAACATAACTAGATTTCAAATAAATACATGCGGAATGAGTTAATGAATTCTTTAAATCTTTGTATTGACTTTCACAGGTTCCATTTGGTCTCTTGTTGGAGCCATGCTCTATGCTGTCTATATTGTTATGATTAAGAGAAAAGTAGACAGAGAAGATAAATTGGATATTCCAATGTTCTTTGGTAAGAATATGCATAACTTATAAGTCTAATTACTCTAAATGGTTAGTTTAGGGTTTTGGAGTGGTGTTTTTGCTTTTGTTGGGGAAGAAAGAAATATTTTGCTCCCATTACAGGATTTTTTTTCTTTAAAATCATGGCATTAGTGATGGAATGAATTTTCAGTATTTGAAGCCGAGTCTCTCTTTTTCTCCTGCCTTATCCTGTATAGTTCTACCTGTCCCAGGAGGAATATGCCTGTTTTCTAGTGTGAGGGAGGAAACAGACTGCTGACACCTTCCATGTACTAGTGCTATCAGCTTCTGGGTCAGATGTTTGTCATTCATATAGGACAGAATTATGCTCTAATAAGCATGTGAAAGTATAGCTGCTGTATTATCCTAAGATTGAGGAAAGCAGTTCTGGAAACAGTTTTTTAATGTGTACTGAACAATACTGTTCTGGTCTATATGTTACTCTTTTTTTTTTTAATCTGCTTATTGTTAACTTTGGTGATTTTATGGTCCCCAATTGTTTTTCTACTTACAAATTATATTTTTTAGACTCCATTCTCTTATACCACAGGTGTTGGAATTAATTCTAAGTTCTGGTATCAATTCTTAGATCTTGGCAGATAAAATAATGTGCTTCTTAAGGAGTCTTTGTGGCACCATACATAGTCAAACTACTTACCCACAATAAGTAGTCAAAGCATTTGACTACTAATCAAGCAATTGACAGTTTGAACCCTTGAACTCCTCTGTGGGAGAAAGATGAGCCATTCTGCTTTTGTAATCATTTACCACCATGGAAATTTTGTAGTTTCTATTCTATCCTATAGGATTTCTGTGAGTCAGAAGAGACCTGCTGGCAGTGGGTTTGGGTTTTATCTTTTGCTTAAAAATCAGCTCATTAAAGAACTTGAGATGTCTATGAGATTGCAAAGAAAGAGCAATTGACAAGAAGTCTTCCAAAAGATATTTTAGTATCAAGAGATAAAGAGCTTAATGAACATCCAGGATGCCATTTACAAGGAGTCACAGTTGTCCTGATTTTGAGCCATACCAGCCTTCAGTTGTAAATCCCATTGGTTGTTGCTGTGTAGTGTATGGTAGAAATTTAATGGGAAAAGTAGATTTGTTTGTTCTCCAAGGACAACTCTTCAAAGAAGCATGTGGGGGACAGGGAGTAGCCATGGGCCTTTAGCAACAGAGAGGAGTTGATGCTTCAGCCCCTTTAAGATTCAAGTGTTCTTTTAACTGTTATTATTAGATGCCATCAAGTTGACCACGACTTTATAGTAACCCTATAAACAATAGATCTGAACCTTGCCATCCTCATTATCTCAGATATGCTCAAGCCCCTTGTACAGTCATTATGTCAGTCCATCTTGTTGGCTGAAGAAGAGTATTGAGAATACCATGGACTGCTAGGAAAACAAATAGATTTGTCCTGGAGAGGGTTAAACCGGGTGTCTCCTTGGAGGCAAGGATTCTGAGGCTCCGTCTAACTTACTTTGGACATGTAGTGAGGAGAGACCGGTCCTTAGAGAGGGACATCATGCTTGGGAGGGTGGAGGGACGGCGCAGGAGAGGAAGGCCCTCTATGAGGTGGATTGATTCAGTGACTGGGATAATTGGGATGGGAGTGTCAGAGACAGTGCGATTGGCACAGGACAGAGCGGAGTTTAGGGCTGTTGTACATAGGGTCGCTATGAGTCGCAGGCGACTCGACGGCACATAACAACAACAACAACAACAACAGCATCTTGTTGGAGGCCCTCTCTTTCTCTGACCTTTCCCAGTGTGATATCCCTCTCCAAGGACTTGCCCTTTCTGACAGCATACTCAAACTACGTGAGACAGCTTCACCATGACGTAGATGTCATTGCATTAGATTTACATCTATTAGATGACGGAGTAAATATAAAATAATACAGTTTTCTTCAATTAGAGCTCTCTCTAGAAATACACCCTATGAATCTTAGAGCAGAATAAGATGTTAAATTATATAGAAAGTGCATAAAACATTACTATAAAAGTATGGTACTTTTTCTTTATGTTCTCTGCATTCACATGTATATTGACATATATAAACTTATATTTTACAGAAATCATAACTAACTTATATTAAGTCCTTACTATATGCAAGGCGCTGTGTTCTGCTCTATAAATAAGTATTTTGTCTTATCTTACCAACAATCTAATTAAGTAGATTTCTTTGAATATGTTTTAGTTGGAAGCGTGGATCTTCGACCTGAGATCAGAACCTAGGTTATCAGAGTGCAAAACATTTTTACCCACCTTTTGCTGCCTTCATTTATACATAGTCGGTGTTTGATAGATTAGATTGCTATTTGTATACATATGTGTGTTATTTTATTAATTATAAGCTCTGATAATTTTCTTTGCACTGGCTTATCTCTCTTATGCCTAGGATAGCAAAGGTACTTTCAACATAGATGAATACAAGCGCAAACCATCCATTTCATCCATTTCATAGTTCATAAAGGAAACACATAACAATCACTAGTTATGTCTTTCTACATTCTAGAGCATTGTAATACTAGAGTTACCACTACTAACTCGAAGGCTCATGTCTCTGCTGATATGAACCTATCATCAGCTACATGGGAGAAAGATTGATAATCACCTCTTGCTACAATTTATAGTCTAAGAAACCTGGTGGAGGCTCACTGAGTCAGAACTGACTCTAAGTCAGTGAGTTTTTGAAGGTTAACCAAAGGAAATGTGGTAGCATAATACTTTATGTGCTAGACTGTTAATCAAAAGATTGGGGGTTTGAATCCACTAGCTGCTTCTTGGAAAACGATGAGGCACTCTCCTAACGTTTACTCCCTTGGAAACTTGATGAAGGGTACACATGAGTCAGAATTAGCATGAGGATAGAGGGTTCTTTGTTTGTTTTAAAGGTTAATAACTTTTCTTTCAGACTTGTTATATATGATTGATGTATTCCATAGCAATTGTTCTGGTCAATGTGAATAGTTGGATCAGGATTTAGATATCACCACTTCTGTGCTACATTTTCTTTTGATGTTGATTTAAAAACATTCAAATTAAGGATATAGGTTGGAGCACTTTGAACAAATTTTAATGTTTTCTCATTACTAACTTTTTTTCCCCCTTTTATAATATTTAGGTTTTGTAGGTCTGTTTAATCTGCTGCTCTTATGGCCAGGTTTCTTCTTACTTCATTATACTGGATTTGAGGACTTTGAGTTTCCCAATAAAGTAGTATTAATGTGCATTATTATTAATGGCCTTATTGGAACAGTTCTCTCGGAGTTCCTGTGGCTGTGGTATGTACAATTTATTGTTCTTTGATTTATTATTGTCAGGTTGTGAGCTTTTGGTTAGTTTAAGCATTTAAATTTCTTTTGTCTTCTGATGACCCCTTCTGTGTTTTCTTTTTCCCCCAAATACTTACAAATTAGTGTAAAGTCCATCAAAACAGAACTTATTTTTGTTCTTATTTACATGTATGTTTTCTTTTTAAACTTCTGTATACCCATTGCATAGAACAATGCTGCACATAGGAGGAACTCCATAACTAACTTACTGAGTAACTGGGAATGATGTATTTAGATGTATGAGTGTTTTAGAAGGTGGGATGTTACTTAACTGAGAGGAGTCCTTCTCTAGTTGTGTAAGTTGTGCATTCCAATTTATTAGATAAATATCCCAAGTGCAAATGCCTGATTCTAAGTGAGAACCTGTGGCACTTTGCTGTAAGAGCCTGGACAGTGAGTTAGCAGTGTGGTTGTTTCTTCAGAGGTTCCTTTGTTTTCTTTATTCTTGAGACCTTTCATATGAGTAAATGTAAAAGGAATAGGGTAATGTAAGGATGGTCAAGTCTGACCTTTATTAACTACATAAGGGGGAACTGTGCCCACCAACAATATCTGTAGTATGAAACTAATAGTTACAAGGCAGACTTGGGCCCCCACACTGCCGTACCTACTTTCACTGATTACTGGGTCTGAAATTCATTGTCAATGACTCCTAGACTTGACTTTACTCACAACTGTGGTGTTTATTAGGGAAATAGGTTGGGGAGTGGAAAAGACAAAGGATATCCACAGTAAAAATCTAGGTATAGTGAACTCAATCCCAAGACAGCTTAACAACAAGACCAAATTTCTCAATTAGTTTAGACAGTTTCTCAGTCAACAGTTGAAAGTGCAGGTTCATTCCAGCGACACAAATACAAGAAGTGTCTGGTTTCCTCAATCATCCAGCAACTTTGTCTCATAGCAGTCACAAGTCAGCACTTCCTCAGTTGTGCAGCAAGCAAAACTTAACTTTGGTTCTTTCTCCAGGACTCTTGTCGGGCTATGCCTCACCACAATATCCCTACAGTCTGGTTAGCTCTCTCTTAATGTCTTTATAGCTATTGATAATGTAGAAGCTGATCAATGGAGAGCTATGTACCTGTAGTTGAGGCAGCTAGAGACCATGCCCCAAAGGAGCTAATGTGGGGGTGGGGGTGGGGGAAGCCTCAAAGATTCATTTTACTTACACAATTCTACCTGGTCCTGTGGTCAGGTCTAAGAAAATGGATAGAAAAATCCCACCACCACCATGAGCTGTGTCTATTCTTGATTAATTTGGTATGTCACTATCATATTAAAGTGACTATGATAATCTTAAAATTGTTGTATACAATATGTGTGGAGTTTTGGAAACTGTTCATATGCTGAGCTTTGTGTTTCCATCTATCAAAAGTGAAAAAGAAGTTTACTTAAGCTCCTTAGTGAACTATATTACATACCAATTAAGACTGTTGTTGAGTTTTTCCTTGAAAAATAACTTTTCCATGAAGTCTTCCAGATATTCTTCTGAAAGCACTGCCACACGTATCTCCATCTTCAATTAAGGAGCTGTCTTTATTTTCTGAATCTCTTCCATGCACTTTCCTTTCATGTAGTACATATCATTTACCTTCTTTTTTTTTTGCAGCGTTTTGTGAATTCTTTATTGTTTTTCTTTTTTTTTCTATAATTATATTTTATT